GATTATTAACCCTTTGCAGTCAGATACTCTGACCAACTTAAAGGGCAACTCCGGCCAAAACTCAAAATGAAATAAATTACTGGTATCGTTGTAGACACACAAAATACGACCTCAGCCAAAATATTACGTCCGTGGGACGCCGCATTCTCAACTAATGCCGATAATAAAAATGTGACCTGCCGCAAGCCGCTGCTTCTTAGCGGGCGGCCAGCGGGTTGGCGATCGCTAAAGCAACATTGCGCCGTGACGTCAGTATCGTTCTCTTTTCCTCCGGCCCGGGCGTTGCGCGGAGTGCGTTTCTTCGAGCCGCTACCACCGGTACTTCGGCTTGTGATTGGCGTGTTTAGCCGTTGATTTTATCTGTAGCCCATGTAGCTTCGCTATAGCCTTTTGTTTATCTGCTTGTGAGGACTCCAAGACTCGTTTTAGCGAGCAACTTGGTGCGCCCAAGACTGCCCAGCTGTTCCTCAAAAGATGCCAAGTACAACTTGTAGCGCTGTGGGCTGCTCAAACAACCCGCTGTGCAACACGGAGGTGCTTTTTCACTAGTTTCCAACGGACCAAAAACTGGAGAAGGTGTGGGTGAACGCTGTTCGACGAGTAGACTTTGGACTTCGGCTTTTAAGCGCCCGAGGAAAAAAAAAAAGAACGAAAAAACAGACATGTACAGCCCAGCACACATGTGTTGGGGTGCCGCAGCCCGCGCCGGAGAACCTCAAAGCTTCGTGTCTGGGACTGTCCCGCAGCGCGAAAGCGAGGGGGCCCTCAGGGCGTCACCCATCCCTCCGTATCCTTTCATCCTCCTCAAGAGCTGCGCTCTAATCCGGCGTTACAGGGAGTCGTAAACGGCTTTTTTTTTTTTTTTTTTAAGTTTTGAATATTGCTTATTTTACTGTAGGTAGATGTGGGAGTTGTTTACGAAAATATTTTTGGAGACCGCAGAAGCAGACCACACGAGTCACCCCCCTCGCCCAAGTGAGGGGTGACCTGCAGTCTGTTTGGAAAGATACTGTGTCTGTAGCTTTGATACAAAGATATCTTTCAAAGATACTTTGAAAGATACTGTGTTTGTAGCTGGCTTCAGTTGCTGCGTTCGAATGTGCATCTATTGACATTTGGTGACCGTAGCAGTCAATTTATTGTGCAGGAGGAGACTGGTGGGGCGAGATCAGGAGCACACTTGGGCTCTCTTGCAGTACTTTTCAATGCGGCCACAGAACATGAACATAGGGTTCTAAATAAGGACTGAACACAGATGGCCGTTACTCTCTGGCGCCTATTATTTTGACAAGCCTTCCATGAAAGGCACTTTTTTTTTTCTCACCTGGAACATAGGGTTCAAGTATCAAACCGCCCGTGATGTTGCGAGCGAAATAGGATATCACCAGAACATCTCGGTGCTAATAATCGCAGGGAAGATGAGAAATGCAGGGCATGTCTTATAGCTCAGCCTCCAGCGAGCACTCATCGCCTTTCCTCATGCTTTGGCTGTGCGTGCATTCTTGAGGTTTGCAAGATGCCTAAGCATTGCTGAATGGAATGCGAACGGCTGGGTGTGTCTTACAAATGTCCCGCCTCTACGCGTTGCCGAAGGTAGGAAGCTCTCTTGCTGGAGGCAGGGCAACTGAGGCTTCTCATAGCCATTCTCATCTTGTGAGGGACTTAGTCATTAAACCATTTTAAAAGTGGCAGTGCTACACCATACAATAAAGGTTTTTACAAAAGCAATTTGTAATTGATCTTGTCAAAAGCTAGTTATAAATAGAAAGAAAAAATATCAACTTGCTTCAGTGAGAAAAACGGATGGTGCCTTGTATTCAAGTTTACAAAAACATTTCTACTGACAACCTAAAAAAATTCCATTGAATGGTGCTGTTTTTAACTGGAGTAAAGAGACCCATGTCTGTGTACAACTATCTATAGTCCGTTGCAACCTAAGGGCGAGGGTAAGATGGGCCGGGGAGGAGGAAGCAGACGGAACGCTGGAGAAGAGAGGGGGAAACCTCCTTCTCTCTTTAGTGTTCCGCCTGCTTCCTCCTCCCCAACCCGTCTTACCCTCGCCCTTCGTTCTTAGGTTGCAACTGACTATAGACTCTTTCAAAGCTTATATTAAAGACCCAGGCAGTGACTGTCTACCCTAGATATATCACCATCGTCCTTCACTGGTGCTATGAGACCTCTTCCACAACAATGAAAAATCACAACTTCTCGGAGATGAAATGCATGCTTTAAAGGGGCCCTGCAAGGGCTTTTTGACTGGTTTTTCATTTGCACCGAACCTGAGCGCACTGAACGTAGTCAGTGCAACTTAATTAAACTTTTCTTTTCTCGAATTTCGCTTTATTTTAAAAGTTATAGGCAAATTAAAATTACAAGAACAAGCAAAACATAACCTTTTTCATGACGTCCTTGGTCGCTCGAGTGGCCATGAACTAGAAGAGGGCTAAGTGAGCTCAGCGAGCGCTCCGTGTCAACAGCTCGAGAGGGCGCCATATAGCATGTTCTGGAAAGGCTGTATGAAGCGGGCAGCCAGGGGGGCTGGCATTGCATTTGCTGCACGATTAAACACTAATTCGGCATGACACTTCATTGGTCACAAACGACAGCAAACACGGGGTAAAGATCAGTTCAGAACGGGAGCCACTTCGCACTGCCATACCGCCAAAGGGCCAAACCGCAAGCCAAAGCTGCTCGCCGAAGGCCTTTGAAATGCTCGGAACTGGTCGGATTTTCGACTGCAGCGCCGCCGCATACACCCGAGACCTTTCTACGCTTGCCCTCGTCATTGCCTGATCCCACTACACCTTTCTAGTATGCGCCGCCTTTTCCACCGCTTGGGTGGCGGGTATGTCGAAGGGTCGTTTCTTGTTTCCGTACTTTATAAACTGCATTTGTTTCTTTTCTGGTCTAAAATACTGAACAAAACTACTTTCACAAATAATTGAAACGGTTCTTTTAGCTTTTAGCGGCTCCGACCACTAGTAAGCCCAGGACCAAAGACGTCGCATTTCGCGCGCTTTCAGCAATGCGGGTCGCCCCCGTAGGTAAAGGAGGTTTTTGCGTAGGCCGGTTAAAATATGACGCACTGACATTTAGTTACTTTCTCCGTGCCCGCTGGCTTGCCTGAACGCCAAGAGACGTGGAAACCGCAAAAAAGGTAGACGCTTAAATATGGTTGCAGGGCCCCTTTAATGAAGGCGCAAACAAATCAGTGCAGCCCTTAAAATAAAGCAAGATATAAAATCTGCACTCGCAGAACAGCCGGGCTTTAATTTCTTTATTGCTTTTAACATTTCGGTGTTAACTTGTTTGATTGCTGCAATCTTGTTAGTCAATATTACTAAAAAAAAAAGATGTGCTTGCATTGACCAAAGTGTGAACATTGTTCACACTCTAACAATCTCCAGTCCTGCTTGGCAACGGTAGCAATACATGTACCAACGTTCTCAGATCTAGGTCAGTTGACAAACTTCGGAAAACGCCCGACGCCTTTTTGCAGTGTGTCCGCTCAGTGGCGTCTGCCGCAGTATCAGCCTGCCCTTTGGACAGATCCAGTGGAACGTTGGATGCACATTACCTGCAGTGGAAAGTGATTTTTTTTTTGTTGTTGTTGTTGTTCTTATAGTAAACTTAAGGCCTGCACAATACTTAAAACAGAAAGAGCGTTGTTCAAAAAGCGTTTTTCGTTGACCGCAAAGGAATTGGCACTAGGAATGCTATCCGCCCTTACCTGCTTGTGCACCGGCAACAGAGAAAAACTGGTTTAGAGTGCAGCTCTTAGGTGCCCATTTCCACGCTTCATTGCGTCGCCGTCTGCATGATCACCTTGCTGAATTTAGTGAGAAATTGAATTTGTGTTGAGGTCACGCAATGTCAATTTTTCTGCTAAATCTAGCTGAGGAACTGAATTTGTTTGTGAGTGACGTGGCATGAAGTCATGTGCCATTTAGCAGGGTTGTTTCCTCAACACCAATTCAGTTTCCCCGCTAAATATAGCGGGGAAACTGAATTGGTGTTGAGGTTGTGTGACATCAATTTCCCCACAAGATTTAGAGAGGAAACTTAAACCGCTAAATTTAGCGGGGAAATTCTTGCTAAATTTAGCAGGAAATTTAGCGAAAATTGCCTGCTAAATGGGAGGGGGAGGAGAGGGTATGGAGGGATAGGAGAGGCATAACCTCCCCTCCTCCTACTCAAGCGCTGCGCTCTAATTTCATGTTACAAAGAATTGTAAACGTCTCAATTTTTTTTTTTTTTTTTTTTTTTTTTTTACTGCTGCTCTTTTATGGAGCTTGTCAACCGACAGATCTAAGAAAGTTGATGTGTACGGCCCGAGCAGAGGCATCTATTTTTCCAAGCACAAGTTTTGAAACCCCCTTTTTTATTGAATTCTTTCAAGAAGACACTCCGTTTAGAGGAAATGGCAACGAATCTCCTTTTAGCAAATTTGTTTTTAGAAAAACAAAATTCACCGAACTTGACTGCTTGCTGTAGCATTTGCTTGTCCTGCCTTGGCTGATGGCAAAGCCGAGCCAGTCAGTCAGTGAGTCGCTCGCTTGGGCGGCCAGCATATTCAGAGCATGATCGACAAGTTTTTATGCATGCCACATCCCTGCTGTTTTCGCAAGAATAATTTTACATTTTGCCTGGTTTACAGCCCAAGAGAGGAGAGTGGGTGCTCAAGCATAGGTCAACATGCCTCAGTGCATCATGCTCTAGTCTTTAGCATCTTCCAGACTTGCTTATGTTAATCGAATGGATTCACTAAACGGTGCTCCTTTGCAACTGATTGTTGTAGGCTGCACCTACAACAAGCAGTTGTAAGTGCAGTACATTCTATTAGCATAAAATAAAGGCACACAGCCAAATCACCTCAATGATGCCTAGCAAGTGGCGAGATAAACTTCCCTTTAACAAAGCATGTGTAGCTACCGAGACATCACATTATTCAGAGTGCAGATGCAGTGTAGCTTTCTTTTGGCCTTTGCATCATCTTCCATTGTCCAGGCACAAGCGGCACTGCCGAAAAAGACCAATAAATAAATATTCAACACGGTGTATTATTCACTTTTGTACCTGCAACATTACCGTCCTATATAGATAGTCGACAGCTGCCCCGGCAACTTTCCGGACATGCGGAATCAAAACATCTCATCAACACAAGTGCTATTCGCCACTGCCGTAAGTTGAAGAATACTTTTCAAAAAAATAAAAGTGCATCTTTCAACGCAGTGTCTAGCGTAACCTTACCCCAAGATTTCGAGTTACATCTAAGGTACCCAATATGAAAAATAAAGTTTGGTCCGATCGACGTAACCTAATATGAAAATTAAAGCTATGACAAACAGAACCCAAAATAAAAGTTAGTTACGTCCTATGTAACCTACGCAACGTAAGTTTCGCTTTACGGCCGATGCACGACATAAATACAAAAATGTCATGACTTACTACTGCATAACATCCGATGCAGCATTCATTAGTCAGTTAAAATCTCGACTCTATCCGCACCTCCAGCTTTGTTGAGGGGGCTGGAGTGTTCCTCGCACATTGAAGCTGCTGAAGCTGGGCATCCCCTCCTCTAAAACAATTTACTCAATTGTAGGTACTGGAAACAGAAACTGAACCAGTGTGTGATGGGTTTGGGAGGGAAATAAACGTGGACAAAAGGCAACCAAGCAATTTAGAAGAGACTAGACCCGCCGAGCTAACGTTCTGTACGAACAGTCTGAACCTTATATACTAGTTCTTGTACAAATACAAGATACCCACGATATTCCGCGATAAGTAGCCACCAAAATTAACATACCAATTAGGCAGTTCTGTTCGTAAGTCACGCAAGTCGCCGAACTCTCCTCGCAGAACGTTCGCGAAACAAAAACGGCCATCTTGGAAAAGGATGGATGGATGGATGGATGCTACTGGCTATACCCTTTGTATCGGGCGGTAGCTTGCGCCACCTAGCCTACGTCTAATAAAGACAAACATTTGATTCCTCCGCCCTTCTAAGCCAATTTTCTCTCCCCCCTCTCCTAACTATCACCAGGTAGTGCGGGATATCGCCAGGCTGACCTTTGGGGGATCGGGCAAAAAAACTAAAAACATCACCCCCCGCCTCTTCCCCCCGGCGAGGGAGTCGCCAATTTTCCTCTGGTCAAACCTTGTCGGCGTTACCCCTGCACCCAACCCACTGGGGGACAGGGTTGAGACTTTGGGCCTGAGCCACGCGGGAGGGAGTCCCAATTTTCCTCTGTCCCGCCTGTCCCCAGCTGTGCTAGTTAGTTGTGCATCATTCAATTTTCCGTAGATAATTTCCACCAATCTTCTAACCGCCTCTTTGTTATTGTGATCCTCTTCTCCTCCGTCCTCCCATCGTCGCCAGCAAAGCCCAGGGCCCCGGCCAAACCCGTCACACCCTCAGGAGGGGCAGGACGAAGCCTCGTGCACCTTAAAACTAGGTGCTCAAGTGTCTCACTCTCATCACGGCATGCAGCGCATAATGTGTCTATCTCCTGAAATTTAGCCCTATACGTCTTCGTCCTCAAAACTCCCGTTCTCGCCTCGAAAAGTAAAGAACTTCCCAGCGAGTTGTCAAACACATTTTCCTTTCGTATGTCCTTTTTTTGTGACCTGTAAACCGTTAGAGTCGATTTTTCCTGCATTCTTCCCTCCCACATTTTCCTCTCTGCCTCTTTCACTCCCTTTTTCACTGAAGTAGTCTGCTCAGCCCCATCATTAGTGAGTAGGTATTTAAATGTAAGCTTTCGGGTTCGGTTTGTCCATTTTGTGTTTATGCTTTTCATGTATAAATACTTGTACACCTTACGTGCCCATCTCGTATCATCCATTTCAGTCAACCTTTGTTCAAATTTCAACTTACTGATTGCTTCCTGCTCTCAAAAGACGACCAGCCCATGTCCCCCTGCACTCCCTCATTTGGTGTGTTTCCATGTGCTCCCAGTGCCAATCTGCCTACGCTTCTTTGCCGAATTTCTAATCCTGATTGAACCTCTGATTTCATGCAGAGCACCCCATTGCCAAAAGACAGTCCAGGTACCATCACTCCTTTCCATATACCCCTGACCACTTCATATCTGTTATAGTTCCATAGTGCCTTGAGCTTCATAATAGATGAATTTCTTTTCCCTTTTCTAATTATATTCTCCTCATGTTCTTCTAGATATTTCTTTCCCTCATTGAACCAGACTCCCAGATATTTGTATTTTTCTACATGGTCTATTAAAATGTCTTGTATCCGCAGGGGTCCCCTCTTTTCATCATTAAACACCATTACTCCAGATTTGTCGCTACTAAAGCTCATGCCCAAGATGTCCCCTTCCTCTCCACACATGCCGGCTAGTTCCTGTAACATATCCTGGTTGTCTGCCATAAGTAATATGTCGTCCGCATACATCAATCCTGGTATTACCTGTCTTACCTTTCTCCCTCCTTCCATATAACTCACATCAAAACCTAAGTTGCTCTGCTCTAATTTCTTTTCCATTTCCCTGAGATATATCATGAAGAGCAGAGGCGACAGAGGACAACCCTGCCGGAGCCCTCTTTTTATTGCTGCGGGTTGTGTAATTTCTGCTTCCCATGTTATAACTACCTTATTGTCTGTGTACACCTGCTGCAGAAACCTAACCAAATTTGCATCCAAATTATACTCTTTCAGCCGACCCCAAAGTATTTCCTGGCTCACATTATCGTATGCTCCCTTGATGTCCAAATAAGCTAACCACAACGGAGTTTGGTTCTTGATTGCTATTTCTATACATTGAGTGGTGACGAATAAGTTGTCTTCCAGTCTTCTATCTCTTCGGAATCCATTTTGAAGCTCACCCAGTATTTGCGTATCTTCTGCCCATTCCTGCATTTTCTGCTTTACAATCTGCATAGCTAATCTGTAAAGAACTGAGGTTACCGTTATCGGGCGATATGACTTAATGCTGTCTTTGTTTCCTTTGCCTTTATATATTACCGTAATATCCCGAGTCATCGCCCATCCCCGAGCCATCGCCCACCCCATTTTTTGGGCCAATATCGATTTCCGAAAAAACACCGAGTCATCGCCCACCCCTTCAAATACCCCAGCGCGGACTCTGCGATCCGCGAACACTCATCCTACCCGAATGACGCGGCCGCAGACCTTACAGTTGGAGGACGTCCGTCACAAAGTAAAACGAAGGAGGGAAAGACACTTCTTTTTGTTTACGCATTTCCTCCGTGAGCGACCCCAAAGTGGTCGTGTATCCGTGCGAAAAGAAAACGATGGAGATAACAAAATAAGAGTTTGTTAATGTAACCGCGGAGTGTTAGGTCAAAGTCTGTCTCCGCCGAAGTAAGGTTACCGCGAACCCGCTCCTTCTTCCCGCCCGTCGCGACCGCGGTTGTGCAATATTTTAGGCAAAGTCAAAGCGTAAATAAAGCTTTGCTGGAACGTCCTACACAGACGTTTGCTGAGCGTCCCAACCGTGCATTGATAGCCCGCCGTGCACGGACGCACGTATGTACGCACCAAACAAGAAAGTTGCGCAAGAGCTTGCAATTGACAAGGCGCCCGACTTGGCCCGACGCCAAAGTATTTGCCAACGCGACCGCCGGCTTTCCCGCTTTGCTTGATTGCTCTTGGTAGCTTCTTTGGACCGCTCGCTCGCTGGCTCGCTCGTTGCGCCTGGTCGGTTTTTCTATTTTCTTGTAGACGTCTTTCTTTCTTTTTTTTTTTTTTACTAACTAGGAGAACATAATGGTGACATTCTTTCACGGAACAAACGTTCGCGCTATATGCAGATCGGCGGTGTTTCTAGCGCGTATGCAAGCAACGGGCTTCGCTATAGTAAAATATTCTTTCGTGAGCATTCTTTTCTTTAAAACAATGAAACTAAATAGAGTTTTGAGTTTGATGTATCTCTTGTGCATCAGCGCTAGATACGCAGAGAAAAATAGGCGTTTTTTTCCGCTTTTTTTTTTCAAGTATTTGTGCTCACCCACCGAGACACGGCCCACCCCACTTTTTTAACGAATTTCAGGCGGTAGGGGGGTGGGCGATGACTCGGGATATTACGGTAGTCTCATTCTACTTAGTTTCCAATCATTGGGTACTTCTCCTTTCATAATTGCTTGATTAATCACCTGCCGTAACTTCAATTTGCTTGTTTTTCCTAGTGTCTTTACGAGTTCCATGGGTATGTTGTCGGGGCCTGTTGCTGTACCTGCTGGAACCTTACTTTCTGCCTTATCCCATTCTCTTGTGTTTGTCTCCATTGTTATACAATTCTGCTCCTCCTCTACAGTGCTGCTGACAGTGCTATCCACCGTCCCCCTCTGCTCAAGCTGGGAGAAAGCCTTTTCGATTGTCTGTCTAATATATTCCTGTGCCTCTTCCCTCTGCACTCTTCTCCCCTCCTGTGTGGTCAGCGAGTGTTGGAAATCCTCTGTTTTTCTCCCCTGTGCTTTAATGTGCTCCCAAAACCTTTTTGCCGCATTCTTATCTTTTTTATTTATTTCCATCATCCACTGCACTCCTGCCCTCCCAATTTTGGCCTGTATTAAAGCTGATGCCTCCCTTTTCCGCTCTTGGAATCTCTCCCATTTTGATGTTACCTCAGCTGGCAGAGCTCCCCTTTTTTTTGCCCACCTATGCTCCCTAGATGCCTCTTGGCGCCGCAATATGGCTGCTTTAACCTCCTTATCCCACCAGCTTTTTGGTTTGTGTCTTTGGTTTTGCTTTCCTCTTTGTTTAATTCGATGCTTCTCTAATTCTCTCTTAAAGATTCCTATTAAATCCTCATATGTCCACTCTTTTTCTGGTTGTTTCGATACTACGTCCTCAATACTTTTAGATACTTTTTGAATTTGTGCTTCACTTAGTTTTTGTTTACCCGCTCGTTCCTGGGCTTGTTCAGGTTCAGATGTACCGAATTTAATCTTAATTCTTTTGTGGTCACTCCCTAAGCTTTTTGTACCTTCCTCATCTATTTCCATACTTCCTAGCCTGTCATACAGTTTGTGGGACATGAGGCAATAGTCTATCGTTGAGTGTGAGTTGTTTCGTTCCCACGTTATTTTCCCTTCGCATTTTACTTGTGCATTAACTAACACTAGGTCCAGGGCATCACAGAAATCTTCTAACATTTTTCCGGTTGTATCTGTGAATCCATCAAACTCTTCTATGTGGGCATTCATGTCTCCCATGATAATTATTTCCTGATTAAGGCCAATTTCCCTAATGTCCTTCGAAATACATGCAAAGTGTTGTGAATTTTCCTCCCTTGAGTCACTTCCTGTTTTTAAGTATGCAAACCCCAGAAGAGTGTTCAGACCTGTTACCCTACCCTTCAGCCATAAATGTTCCCTGCAGTCTTCTCTCTCCCTTTCCCAGTCCTGTCCTTTTACCAACGCTCCTAGGCCTCCGCCTTTCCTTTCCCCTGCCCTCCGGTTGCAACTCACCCAAGAATAACCTGGTATGTGGGGCGGTTCCTCCTCATCCCTAAGATGTGTTTCTGCGACACCATAGACTGTAGAACTTTCTGTCCCTAATTGTTCCCCGATCTCTTCCCATTTTAGCCTGTTTCTACCCCCCTGCATGTTGATAAAGCTTATATTTAGCTGTTTTCTTTTCTTTTTCCTACGAGGCTTCCTCCTGCCCCCCCCTCCCACCCCCCTTACCAAAGTTTTGCCCGAGTTCTCATCTACCTTCGGGCCCTCGGTGGGTCCAAAAAAACCCTTGCCCTGTCTCCCATCTTAGCCCCGATACGCCACCCCGTGTGCTGTCCATAGTGTATCCCATCTTTTTCGAATCGGGGTGATGGCCCTCTTTGGTACACTCCCTTGTTCACCTCCAGCACCTCATAGCCCAGCTTCTCTCCCTGTTGCCTGATAGT